AGAAAAGAACAAAAATTATTATTCCATTGCAAAATATTAAGCCATCAAAACTGGAGCAGAGGTTGCGTCAAATTTTTTTAATAATTTATTAAATATGTGAAATAAACTATAAATTGTTTGTTTATTTACAAATAAAAATCAATGTAACTATATATTTTTTAAAATTTGTCGGAAGCCTGTAGTATTTATTATAGTATTGTATTCAATAATAAAATTTTATATGATACTATACATAGATTTGATTTAATTAGTTGACAGCGCGCCTCCTAATTATTATGCATATCAACATCATCATTATTTATTAATAGTTACAAATGTTTTAACAACATTGTATATTGTGTGTAAATTATTTGATTGTGAACATGTTCACTTAAAAATTATTGTTTCTAATAGTATAAAAAATAAATAAATAAATTTGGCGAAACCCCGAAATACTCAAATCTTTAAAAAGTCCATTACATTTCCGTAATAAAATGTTTGATTTTTATAAGGATCAAGCGCTAATAATATTTTTATATCGAGACTCTTGGAGTATATCCTTTTTATTAGTGAACATTTTTTATAAATAAGTTCTTATTTAGATAATAATAAAAAATTTATATATTAATTATAAAAAAATTAAATAATATTAAATAATATTAAATATTTTTATCACAAAATATTTTTAATGATAACTTGATAAAAATAATAAATACGAACCGTTATTATTCTAAGCTTATTTAAAGCATGTAAAAAAATATAAAAAATCGAAACTATATTTTTAATGCGGGTGAGAAATTTTATTAATATTGATTTATATTCCCATCAGTATTTATTCTCGTTTTTATCCTCAGGAATTTGATTTCTTGAATGATTTTGCTTCAACCTATTTTCAGTACGAACTTTTGATTTATGGATAATGAAGACTTACTATATTTTAATCAATATGAAACCCTTAATAAACCAATTGAGGGTTTAGTTACAAGGTAAGTGTAATCCTCACTCGACATATGAAGAAAAAATATATATTAATTACTTTGAATTGATCTTTCAATTGAAGTGTGAGGTCGAACTGTTGTCATTATTTGTTGAAAATCTATTCACTACGATAATATCGGTGGTAATGGTTTATTTTTTAAGAAAAGCACGCACAAAGTAGTATAACAAGCGAATTCTTAAAAATTTACGAAGAAAATTGGAAAGAAACGTTTTTTTTTGTCGTGTTGAATTTTTTGCATTTAGAAGTCTCATTTATACTTAAGCTCCATATATAAATAAGATAAATCTCATTACGATTAAGTTGGTTGATACATGTTATATGGTGATATAAAAATTCATCAAAACTTGAAATTTGGATTCTGATTCTGATTGGGCAAACTTCATCCATCAGAAATTTCCAACATTTAAAATTAAAATTTGATTCCAGAAATATTAATGGTGACTATTTTTTTTTATGTACAATTAATCTTGCAAGCGCACAATTTAATCACTTAATGTTTTAATGGATTATTTACTAACGATATCCCTTGCACAATCCTTTGATACAGTAATTTTTTATTGAAATAATAACCCTAACTAGTATGTCAAATTATTAAGGATAGCTAAATAAAGACAGATTCAATAATATAAACATGGTAATATCCATACAATTATAAATTTTACACCATTCCATTTTAATAGCAGTTCGTTCGTTTATGATGCTTGCAGTACAAAACATTATTCACAAGTGTGGCTTGCTTATTGGATAATTGGAAAATTTATTAATGGTGTATAAAATAACAATTATACAATTTAAAAATAAAGTTACTTTCATTTAAATCTTGTCTAAAAATATTTAACCGGTTAAATATTTGTTAACCGGTTAATTAACCGGTTAAATTAAACTTAGGCCAGCACTATAAATTTTCCATAATTAACAAAATAATTCTGGCCGAAAATTGAAATTCGGCAGGAGTTATAATAAAATATTTTAACCAGTTAACATGTTAACCGTTTTAACGGTTAATTTACCGACCGGTTTCAAATCTTTATTTACTACATTTATCTTTTGCGACTAACATAAGATTATTTAAACTATATCAGTATTTAACTTAAAAGGATACCTTCATCAGTTGTAATATTATCCTTAAAAACATCAATGAAGTTTGAATTCTACAAAATTACCTGCAAATTAGCTTAATACAGAATATATTAAACAATATTTCTTCATTTAATAACTTACATAAATATGAATACATAATTTCACAAAGCATAATCCAGAATAATAAATTCCTAAGCGTCACTTTTCTCATTTAAAAGCATTTCTTCGTACGACATCATATAAATTGATCATTTCAAAAGGTTATTGTAAATCGCTCTCCAAATTCTTTTTTGATATTATACAGAGTGACCTTTCAAATAAATGACCTATATTTAACATTACTTTTACAACTTTAGTTTCTACACGATTGCCGTTCTTATTTCTTCATCATGTTTTTATTTTGCTTGTCGAGCTTTTTTATTTTGTTCATCGAATTTTATGCTTTCTAGCTTTCTAAAATTATGTCCATTTTGAAGAAAGATACAGTAAAGCTACAAAAGCAGAAAAGATTTAAATAATCTTTATTCTTTTATGAATCATTCAAGTGAAAATTAACTTAAAATATCAATCGGAATGATCGGCAATTTAGATAATATTTTGCTTGCATTTCAAAAAAAAATCCCTTATCGTAAGCTTGTATATATCATATTGAGTAAAATCTATATTATTTTATAAACGGTACGGCAAGATATTGAATCGATTTTACCTAAATCGAAAATCGAAAAAAAATATTACAAAATCAATTAATAAAATTAAAAATAGGGAGGCAGTGAGACGTAATTCAAACCACCGCTGTCAAAGCCTTATAATATTAATTAGATTGAAAAAATAATAGCTGAATGATCAAATAATAAATATCGGGAAACCAAAAAATAAATACCTAATATGTGATAGTAAAGGAACTTTTAAGGCAAAATACTAAAAAAAAAAAAAAAATCTCAGCGCGTAATTCTGAAGCAATTAAGGCCGAAAAATTATTTAATAATGAATAATTTTAAGAAAACTGAAATAATCGTTTTATAGCCGCGAAAAATTCCAAGGTAAAATAGATGAAACTAAAAACGAAATCTAATCCCCGTACTACGAACCCGAGAAATAGTATAAAAAAAAGATCTTAAATAAATATCAACATTGGGCCGATAAATAGTTTTTATGAAACTCCGAAAGCTGCTTGTAACAGTTTTTTGAAAATTCTTTTATAGTAAATTTTTAAACACGTGATTAAACAATACTGTTCAGGTTAATATAAAAAAAAAATAGTGTAATAGCATTTATCATGACTTAAAAATGTGCTAGAATTACCTGAATCTGAAAAAATTTTATCAAAAAATTGTAAAGTTTAATAAAAAATATTTTTTTTGCAAATTTTTTTTTTTAGTAAATAATTTTTTTTTTTATTATCCGTTTTCAAATTGTGATCAAAAATCGCCGAGCCATAAATGACAATTCAATTATTATTTTTTTTGTTTCCAACATGTAAAATTCAAAGTTACGAGATATTACACGTACTTGCAAACATAATGATATGCGAATTTATCACGACTATAAAGTTCTTGATAGTGTTACGATTGAATGTAATTTCGGCCGAAATCTTCATAACTTCTCATGTAAATCGTTTTTGATAATTACAGTTAGTATTTTTGACGATCATTTGCCAGGCTGTCACGATGCCATGATGTCAAGGTGCCAGGTTTTCAGGGCGCCAGGCTGTCAAGATGCCAGTATGATAAATGTTCAAGATGCCAGGCTGGCTTAATTGATATCGAGCTGGAAATCATAAAACAGCTCAATATCCACGCTCGCCCTTGTGATATTTCTTTAAATTACATTCCCTTTAAAATCCTCTCTTTTACACCTTCGCGATAATTTCGATTTTGCCGTTTCAATTTTTAATTTCTCATGTAATATCGTTTATTATTTTATTTTAATTTCCGATTTATTAGTATTTTATAATTCGATTTTTATGTAATAGTTTCGTAATTTGCGTAGTTATAATTAATTAGAATTTAGTATTTGGCATTTATAGAGTTTAAAAATTGATCAAACTAAAGTGTAGAGTGACGACGTTGAGGCAACACTGATTAATTTGATATTATTAAATAAATATTATCACGATTACTTCATTTTTATTCAATAATTATTCATTAATACCTTCTGCTTACATCACAAAATTGTTTATAAATACATAACGAAAGAACTGAATACAATACAACACATGGTACCTTCTGCCAGAATCCCTAAAAAATCAGGAAGTTTATAAAGTATAAACAACTTCAAAAACTTTCACCTAAAACTTATTTTTACAAACCAAAGCAATATTATCAAATGGAAATATCATATAAAACTTTCGAAACTACCATTTTTTCGTTTTCAAATCTTGAGGTATTAAGAGTCAATATAACAGACTAACGCGTATAATCAAAACGAAGAAAATTTTGATCGTTTAGGTATAATATATACATTTACCTTATAATTTGAATATTTGTATACTAATTAAAGGATAACTTATTTACCATGTTTTTAGAAGAATCGTTTCAAGACTGTGATGACAAAATGATCAGGTCATTTGGCGATTTTGAAATGACCTCTGATCATTTGAGGTCATTTGTCATTTGGTCATTTAAATGTAATACAGGCCAAATTTTATATGCTGGTCAGAATTACAAATTTATATAACGTGACGTGAAAATATTTATGAAAACGTTCGAAACCCCGGTCATTTGTCATTTATATTGAAATAACCCAATTGACACATGAACAGTCATTTAAGTCATTTGAGGTCATTTGGGTCACTTGCCATCACTGTTTCAAGATACATACAAAAGCGTATCTAGAGGTGATTATAGAGATACGACTGCGATTGTCGTAGATGAGAAATTTTCGCCTGATCTGGTATAAAATATTCTGGAAAACTTGGCTTTGATGAAAATGATGTAGCATCATGGAGTGAACCCATAGAAGTTCCTTTTGGGGTTTCTTCACCTCTCTATATAGCCCGCTTTGCCATTATCCACAGTTTACCGTTTCAGCATATTAATCTGTACCCAGAACTTCGAGATATTCAATCAGTGAATCCTGAGAAAATCTTGGGTGGAAAAGTTCGAAACACCATCCCAGCAAGTATATTTACATACAAATATAAATTTAGATCTAATGAACAGAAACTCAATGTGATTAGTCAGATAAGAGACAAATTTGGTGATAGAAGAAGATTTCTCTACCGTGAAATTAATTCTCACAATATTAACGTAACACTTACATACGGGTTTATTGTAATATATCGGTCTTCCTTAAGAAATGAATATGGGCCAGGCATATATACTACTCCAAATCTCGATTATGCCATTTCATATGCTGGAAGGAATGGTAAGCTTTTAATCTTTGGTTGGTTTAATCTCGATAGAAATCTTACGTCCAAGCATTTAAATGATCTAGAGGAATGTAAAGCAACAGTCAAGGGCCATCAACGACATCGGGATGAACGTAACCTTGGCGATTGACGCGATTTTCAGAGAAAACACTTCGCTTTCGTTCACGATTGTTCTCAATTGCTCCCCACGTTGCTCAATATTTTCATTGTCATAATAATGTAATAAATTCATATAGAAAATAATGTAATATCAGCTTCGATAGATATAAATTTACTAGCATAAAACTCATATTTTAATTATTTGTTTAAGAATATATAAGGTGTAGTATATTTATTTCATTACTTCATTAAGAAAGTAATTTATGCAGCTGAATAATAAATTCATGAATTCAAAATACTTAATGCATATTGACAAATTTACCTATCCTATCATATAATCCTTCTACAATATTATTATTATAAATATATTTACTAGTTATTTTGTTAAATATTCTTTCTTTTATATAATTGTAATTTAACTGCACTGTTATTAACCGTTTCTAACTTTTCTAATATTTTATTTATTTATCAATTTGGTTTCAGTTCAATTCCAGGTTATCAACCGAAATAAAATATATTAAGGATTTGTCTTGACAGATAGTTCTTTCAAAAAAATTTGTTACAAATTTTTTTTTCTTTAAAAAAAAAACAAAAAAACTGACAAAGGGCCGTAGAATGTGGCGGTACTAATAACCTCGCACTTTGATCTTGATAACCCTGCCATTCACATATGTTAATATTTTTTTTAGATAATTTATTATCAAAATTAAATGTCAAGTTATTATTGTAGCTTAAAGTTTATTTGTATGAAAAATTATATTCTATATATATTATTTCGCTGTTCTGATTCGCAAATGTGATTCACTAATATTTCGGATATTTACCAAAATTTAAATATTTATGAAACGAATCAAATAGTTATTTTTTTTTAAAGAATAAGAATAAAGCTTTATATTATATTAAAAAATAAAAACTTTTTATTAAATTTTTCATTACCCTTCAAATTTCAAGATAGAAACGATCTAAAAAAAGAATATACGCTGCGCTGCAAGAATGATTAAGAATACATAAATTGGAATTATCGTAGCAATATGAAATAAAGAAAAATAATTATATTATATAAGGGTTTAGTAAAAAATCAAATTTAATCAAGAACTTTTAATTGTCAACTTTTTTTGAAAGATTTTCCAAATTTGTAGTTATTTTGCTGTATAATATACACCGTCAGGATAAAAGTAACCTTCAAAATTTACTAATAAATATATCGAAAATGGCATTTTTTGAATTTCTAGTGATCAACAAATATCACATGTAATTTTATGAAAATAGATGAAATATACAAACTTTCTATGATTACTTTAAAACTACATGAATGAACTTTTTTTTATTAATAAATTCTATTTTCCATGCATATAATACTACTAAAACTTCTCTATGTCAATAATTTAAAATTTATTAATACTATTTAGAATATTTGAGGCCTTTGCAATAGAAAGGGAGGAAACTCAAAAAAAAATAAAAAATGAGTTAATAATAAATCTGAACAAATTATAGTATTTAGAACATTTTTGGCTTATAAACTAAAATTTTAATTTTTTTGGAGTTTCCTCCCTTTCTATTGCAAAGACCCCATTTAGTCGATAAGCTTTACAACCAATAAATTTTATTCAATTATATAATAAAATATAGTGATACATAGTTACAAAAAAGTTTATTTTTCATATATTTTATTAATAAATTTCGAAAGTGTCCGGTCTGTGTATATAAACAACAAACATAAAGATGAAATAATTACATAAAGCGAAAAATGTTCGTAAAAATAAAAAAAAGATGGTTTAATTAAAAAATGAATGCAAAGCCAAATAAAAGCATAAAAAATAATTACAAAAAAAAAAGTTCATCAGGATAATTTCTATATCCAATAGATAAATTCTAAAGATTATGAATTTTGTCGTATTTACTCGATACAGATCTTTGTTGGCTTTGTATCTGTAAACTTAAATGATTAACTTTTAATTCAATCTGTCGAATTAAATACAAGACAATATCACAATCACGCCTATATGAAGATACGACAAAAGCAATAGTAAATGAATTTAAAGATTCCTTTAATGAACTCTTGGTTCATCCTAAAAACCCTATCTCGAATTACTTTTCAACTCAAGGAAAAGTACAAGATATTTATACAAAATAAAATACTATAAAATAAATGATAACAAATATAATATAAAGATAAAATAAATAAATAAGTTAAATAAGTTAAATATAACTACTCTAATAACTATAATATAATTAACAAGTATAACGGTTATAATAATTATAACTAATCTATCTAATATATAAAATAGACCATTTTAGCAACTTGGTCTAATTTGTCCACTTCGTCAGCTTTGTTAATCATTTTGATCATATGACTAATTAAAGGCGCAGTCACGGATCACGGCTTCATCATCACACAAACTAACGTGTAAATGCATCCGTTAATTTTGTTCTGTACATTCTCTGCATCAGATGTCGACGTTGATGAGTTTAAGTGAATTTCCGAATAAATTTATGAAGGCAAGGCGTACAAAAACTTCCACATAAATTCTGTAGTATAATGGTTTTGAGAATTCGAAGTATTAATTAAAATTCTCAATTTTATAAAGCAATCTGTAGTTTATTGTCAGTAGATTTATTATAATAAAGAATCTAATGTATTTATTATTATTTACGCTAATAAAAAAATAATTTTCACATGTATGATAATTCATTATTTGCATTACAGTGTGAAACCTAGCCTAGCACTTTTTAACTTTAACAACTTTGTAGAATTTATGCAATTCGAACTTGAGATTGAACCAAAATAATCAAGTTCTTCAATACTTGTGTTCGTCGATCATTCACTCAATAATTTGTAGTGCAAATGGGGATATAAAATTAAATAACGCTTCTAATATTTAGTTTAAGAACTTTTAATATTAAGCATTACAATAATACTAAAGTGTAGTGTTTTAAATTAAATGTTATCAGATTAAAATTCAATTTAATCCTAACTATTTCCAAACCTGTGATTATTTAACCAAAACAAAAATCTGCATAGCAAGAAACTTCTTTCTCCATTTTAAATTAATAATTGACATTAAATTTTTCAAAAATGAAATTGCTTCAAATGTTCGTGTAAGGTTGCCATAAATATCATATGCGATTTTAAATTATGAATTTCTTAATAAATTTTTATAAATCATATAATGCCATAAATGAGAAACAAACACATACAAAAATAATGTGAGATTTATATTTATAAGCTCAATTTGCACACTAGTTTCTTTATATAATCTTTTTTATTAGATTCGTATATATAAAGAGAATAAATATTAATACATACAATATTAGCTTATTTTTAAAAATAAAAGGTTCCGAGAAAATAAATTCGCATTTACAAAGTTTATAGTATAAAATTACCATTAAAACAAACATAAAAAATTTAATCGCATATAGCCCAGGAAATTCGTTAAAATAAATTTGATTTTATATCTATGCTTTGTAAATATTAGACAGTTTTTAAGTTATCGATAATGCAGATAAATAAGTTTACCAAAAGTCTTTAAATTTAAAAAAACGAAAATTCAAAAATTAAAATTTACAATATTGACTGAATGATTACTTTGTTTTAAAAAATACTTCTTAGTGATGAACAAATTTAACTTGTAGATTTAAATAACTATACTAGGGTTTGCGATTTGCGGGGGGGACATCGTCCCGTTTAGCATTATATGATTGATTGCCTAACCAGTTATAATTAAGCTTTATAATAAATAAAATTATAAAAACAAAAAATTTAATTATATTGTTAAAAAAGAAGTTTAATTTAATTAATTAAATTAATTTTTCTAATTTAATTTTTTTTTGACCTGAAAGTATGCATGTGTGGTGTCTGTCCCCTACAAAATTAGTATTGTACTAATAGGACGCTTCAACGGTTCCCGTTACCTAGTTTTTATTAATTTTTATTTTTTTTTTATTTTTAATACCTTCGTTTTTAAATAGCGAATTAAAAAAATAAATCTAAAATAAAATTAATCAAATAAATACGATAAGAAAAACAAATAGAAAAAAAAATCTTGGAATATCAATTAAAATCTATTATTTAAATTTGAAAATTTTTTTTTATTTAAAATGCTCGTCGCAATTTTTTTTTTTAATTTTAATTTTTTTAATTTATTTTTTTTTCGAATTATTTTTTTTTTTTTTTTTTTTTTTTTTTTTTTTTTTTTTTTTTTTTTTTTTTTTTTTTTTTTTTTTTTTTTTTT